AACAGTGAGATATGATACTGATGACATATAGTTTTAAAGAGGTTAATTAAAGTAATGGCTTGTGTAAATAATACGTGTAAGTACTTATTATGCAACCGAACTATTCATTTAAATATGCATTATCAACTTTCTTCCGAAGTCAAATTCATATTATTCGGAATACAGTTGTACATAATGTTGAAGTTTTTCTTTACATTCAGAATATGGTTTTATGAGACATGATCATACTATGTGAATTGCAAAGATGTCTTACGGCTGTCAAAGTTTATGTAAATAAATACAAGCAAAACAGAATAACAAGTTAATAAGACTTGTTGTGTCTAATAATAATGATGATGAAATATCAATGTAAAAGATTATCTGTAACTATATTTAACATAGCTTGTTAATCCAAACCTTTTTACAATGTTTTGTTATTTGATGCATCCATTATATTCACACTACAATATATACGTTTTAAACAGTCTTTTACATATACTATGGGTAAAAATATTTCAGGTTAATACATAGATTATAGTATCGGATGTGTTAGAGATATGATAAAACATTGAAAATCATTATTGTAGTATGAACATTAATATTATTGTAACCGAAATGTTAAGTACTTATAACACAATTCTGAAAACTAAAAAATAGTTGACACTATCTGGTCTTCAGAAGTTCTTTTGCTGAAAGTTATTTAACAAGCTTTCACTAACATGAAACTAAAAAAGGCTCACACTAGCACTGCATATATACACAGACCTTAGTCCTACCTCTAATAATGCTTGTTATTTCCCAACAATAAAAATATATTTATTGTGATTAGGCTTTACGCAATTTCTTATCTGAGACAATCACATCAAAATACTTCAGATTACTTTATAGTTTCGATAAGATCAAGACTTTGATTTTAGACAAGTAATTATGTATTAAAATAGCTCTGAACTGATAGCCAATTAGTCTTGGTAAATAACTTTCAATTTTATCGAAGCCAATGTAGATGAGTTTTACTATTGTGATATTGCTTTTGTATTTATTCTGTAACCTACTTTTGTTCTGTATTTTAAGATTGAATAACTTAGTCATTTTGGAAAGAAGTGTCTCCAGAGGGCCTTCCTGATTTTTATGCCGCAATAGTAATGGTTAGATAATTTCAATTACGTATACTATTCCTGCAAATTTCAAGTTTATGGCATTGTACATATCATTAAATATGCTAGAAGTCAACTTAACTGATTAAGAGCAATTATTTGTATGTGTTCCAAGTAAATTATGAGTAGAAAAATGACGTTACATAGAAAACAATCCATAATGTAGCCGCAGCTTTGAATAAATGAACTCAGTTTTTGTGTTTTATGGTGCACCGAAATTTGGTCATAAAAATATTCATGAAGGTGAAAATATTCTTATTTCAGAGTTATAATATATACTTTCATTTTATTGGATCTAAACGTTTAATTGAAATGAACTAATATCATAAAAGTGCTTTGGCTAGATTAACTATTTTTAGCAGGCTCATTAAATAATGTAGCTGAACCCATGAATATTTTTATCAAATGTTTGGTCTCGAATTAATTGATAGCCTGAACCAAACAATATTTTTTGATAAGTTTGAAAATAAAATACACCAATAAGTAACTAAAAAATGGTACCAAATGATCATGTCTTCTTACTCTGTAAATGAACAAGTAGAGAAACATATTTGTGAATCCCAACCTAATTCAGGTCTACACATATTGATAGATTAATTTTATAAGATATCCTTTTTAATGCTCAATAGCAAGCTAAGATGATAAATAACTTTGCATATTTATCTAAACAAACTCACCAAATTCTGTTCACTTTTTACATTGTTAACCCACATTCAAAATTTAACTCAGCTATTTTTACTTTGCAAATTCCATACATATTTTCACATTTACCAATATACACATTAAAACATAAGTACGTCTTGCACAGAATCATATTGACCGGAATGACGTGATCTTTACTGATTTCCAAAGTTACTTAATGTTCTTCATTGTTCAAACTCGTGTTAATTTAACCACGTTATTAAGTTATTCACGGAACAAGTAACAGCGACTAAATCACGAATCGTAAAAATCGATTTTTCTTTATATCCAGGTATCAGAAATATGTCATTATTTTTACAATATACAATTCACTTAGTGATCAGTTTATTTGAAATTATCAAGTCAGACCTTTGTAATGATACTTACAATTATATGAAGTACCATTTTCACACTGAAAATTCGTCATTTCATTCAAATGCCATTACACATTGTAGAAAAAAATGGCTAATAATTTGAGACAACTCGAGTTACAAGGAGAGATAAATCAACTGAAAATCAATTTATTTGATTCTCAAGGTCTATCTATTCTAATTTCATTGTCAAAACGTTCAAATGATTGCAAATAACATAGTACCATTATTGTGTCTTTCTTTCACATATGACTGAGGTGTTTTATGAACATTGAACTACTGACTAAGAGTGAATGATACATAATGTGAACCACACTCGTAATAAAATCTCTTGCAGACACTAGGAATAACTATCCATTGGATATGCGAAGCATTTACTAACAGAATCAGTAGTAAGCTAAATAATTTGTTTAGACTCAATTTAGGATTGTTTACTCATGAAAAGTTATGATCACAAAAAATGGAAGTCGATTTTTTTTACTCTCCTGAACAATGAAAAGGATAGCAAAACAACTGAAGGCACTATTAATCATTCATACTAATCAAATTTTTGGTCAGTAATTAGTAGATCTAAAAATATATTATTACTTGAATCGTCTACCAATTACTTCCCTGTTTATCATTCATTATTTGAAAGAATAATTTCAGGGAAATAATGGATAAAGCTACACTACACAATCGTTTCTCTATTCGTTATTTTATTGTTAAAATAAGACAGGTAACACTGTTGATGCTTATTACAGAAAAATTGTATCTTTATACTACTATTCATAAGCTCCACAAAAACAATCTTTAATTTGCCAATTTTTTTTTAACAAATTATTGATATAACCCGCGAATATATTTGTTAAACCATTACATAACTTCTTAGCTAATTCTTTATTTCATTAATTCAAGTAGAAACTTATGCATAAATTCTCATAGCGTAACTTCAACGTCTAATTGGATTTAAACAGTCACATAGATGGGTAATTAAAACTACCAGATGGATTCAAGATTTGTTGTCAATTATATTATATTTGTTTATTTACGAAAGCTGACAGTATAATTAACGTAACGTAACAGGCGATGATAAAGTAGAAAGAAAAATAACGTTTCAAGACTTGTTTCTATCGATTTTTGTAATGTGGCCGCCTGTCAACATTCCATGGACTATTTTGAAATGCTAGATGATGATAGATGGTGAATGACACCTCACCACAAAATAAAATGACATAAGTTTGAACTTGTGTTCTCCAACCAAGGTTCGATTAGACTACTAAAATCTCTTTAATTTTACAGCTAGTTTTATCGAATTATCTTTTACTCACTAGTGACTAGCTTCGAGAGAAATCATCAGTGAAACTAAAGTATGTCAGCTGTAACGGGGTTACCGACCAATAACAACAGAGGGTGATCGCACAAAGCTGGGGATGAAATGAAGTTAGACATTAACACCGTTGGGTGCTGGCTCAGTAGTCTAAACACTAAGTGCTCAATTGTGAGATCAAAGTTTCTTGATTTGATTCCTGAATGAGAGATCATGGATGTGCACTTGTGAGAAGTCCTATTCCAAAACGAAATATTCGTTCAGGGCTTTCACGAATTTAATAGTGACTTAACACTGATCAGCTTATGGATTTATGGAAGTTCAGTCATCTCCACATACCTTTATTGATATTTTAAGTAAGCCCGGAGCCCTTGCAGGGTAACTTTCGGTCCCAGGCCCCGAGAAAGTAGAAGGGTCTAGCATGGAGTTACCAATCATATGCTGTCGAAAACAAGTTTACTTGACTAGGTGTAAAAGGCCTAAGTAAATGTTTTAGTGAATTTATAAGCTGACAATGTCTTGCCTAATCTTCACTTCAATGACAATGTGTAAAAAAACTAACAAAATACAACCACTCTTAGAAACTCTAATGAACGGATCATTGCTCAAGATGAAATAAAATAAAGTACATTTTTTTATGTCCATTATGATCAACAAATAGCAGCCAACAGGCTATCCATGAATACAGTTAATTACAAAGAGTAGATTTTTCCTAATTGAATAAACCGAATCACTAGTAAATTTGATTGATCGAAATTCATTGAAGTGCAAATATGACTCCAAAATGATTCATTTAAAGCTTGACTAGTTATTTTCTCCATCATTCTTGATCTTATTTCTTTCTAGAAAATTTTGTAGTCTTATTGTATGAAGTTTAGAAATTTCAACGGATATTATTATTCTCTAATTTCATTTATACCAAAAGCTTTCTGAATACTGTTATAAGTAACACCTTGTTTTAAGGTGAGATCTAAATGAAATTTCAAGAAAGTAAACTGGAAAACTTCTAAACAGACACAAAAATAGAGTGAATCCAACTGTTGCTGACCAAACTTGTGACTGTAAACTAAACCTTAAAGAATAATAACTAAGATAACCTCAGAAGGATGATTGCTAACATGTAAAATATTCTATTCAACTGAAGTTCTGGGAGATGACTGATGTGATGTATGTTTTACTTCTTTAAAGCTTACAGTTATATTTTGGCAAATTGGACTGAGTAATATTATATATCACTCTGTCAGTAAAATTTGACATCTATAAGTTTATTCAAGTTAACATTATATACTACCATCAACTTGGAACCATTTTATTGATTGATTGTGTGATTATTAAAATCAATGTCCAACAACCAGAAATTCTGAATTACTTCAATCTAAATGGATTGGAAACACATTTTTTGCTTGATCAATATGTATAGCCATTAAAAAAATAAGAAAATTAATCGATCAGTGCAGTGAATCCATTAATTTCTTCGTTACCAATTCATACACAGGCACTACTCTTATGCGTGTCTTGTTAGATGTACATCCAATGATTCGGTGCGGTCCTGAAACTAGAGTAATACCGGAGCTCCTCAGTTTACGAGATGAAATGGATCGTAAAAAAGAAAGAGAACGACTTGAAGCTGCTGGTTTATATCCAGTTGCCATTGATTCTGCTTTACGATCATTTATATTGTCTTTAATCAAAAATGCTGGAGAAAATGCACCTGTTCTATGTAATGAAGATCCACTATCATTTATCCATCTTAAATATTTGGCGCAAATATTTCCTGAGGCGAAATTTATTCACATGGTACGTGATGGGCGTGCTGTGATTAATTCATTAGTAAAGTAAGATATCATTATTGACGTTAGTCATTAATAAGATAGCTACATTTGTCATACATTTTCAGTGCCCTTCATTCAAATACTTTTTCAGTCTTAGTCAAACATGTCAAATACTTTAACTTCATAAACTAGTTAGTTTCGAAAAGAGGGAAGGTGACTAATAGAAGAATCAAGGACGCTTTTAGCTCCTCCACTCTGAACTTATCAACTGGATTTACTTACATCCTACAGTTAATATTCACTCCAGAGCCCGAACTCAGTACTATTCCCTTGAATCGTCACAGCTTTATACACTTAGCTACTGAATCCATATAGCCATTCACTTGCGCAACAGGTATGAGTTTGAATTCGATGATGACCATAAGAAGGTAGTCTGAACAGGATGTACATATGCCACATGAGACCTATCAAATTCAAGTCTACATATGACCAACATGATAATCCAGTTCATCTCAAATTGAATATGTTTATACTCTCTACATGTTTTTATTATCTGTATTGCTCATTTTCCTGCAATTTTCAGCATATATTTATTTAATGACGAAGATACGTATTTCAAATAACTTCGGCATTTACGTAGAAGATTTTGATTATGCACAGCTTTGTGTGAAGTATAAAGCTTTAGGTGTTTCCGATGTCAAGAATGTGTAGCTGCTTTTCATTGCAAAATTAGTGATTAGCGCTCTAGATTTAGTTTCGGCTTAGTCATACTAAGTCATGAAAATAATTAATTTTCCATATTTAGCATAAATATATCATCATTCAGCTATTGGTTTTTTGTAATCAGAGCATACCTTGCTTATTTAGTAGCGCCTTTTCTTGAGTGAAAGTTTAGGCAATTACATCTATAAAATTTCAAACTAAGTAGTCTGCCGTATAAAGTTTGAAAGTATAATGTGTGAAAGTAGTTTACCTGAAAGATATCATGTGATTTGCACAATATTCATTTGGAACAATATGACTTCATATATCCTTATCAGTATATGAAATTCGATTAACCGTGACGGTAGAAAAGGCACTGATAGCATGGAAATCTCATGTACCCATAGTCATCAAAGCATCCTTCAAAACAAAGAAAGAGGACATTACAATGAACGTCATCCAATCCTATGCACCTACCAATGACTACAGTGAAGACATTAAAGATCCATTCTATAAGAGGCTACAGTCAATCGTCGAGCGATGCTCATCGAAGGATTCGACGATTCTGATGGGAGACCTAAATGCCAAGGTTGGCACGGACAATACTGGATATGAAGACATCATGGGACGACATGGACTGGTAGAAAGGAACGAAGATGGTGAGAGATTTGCAAACCTATGAACCTTCAACAAACTGGTCATCGGTGGCACAATATTCCCACACAAGCGCATACACACCGCTACATGGATTTCACCGGACCACACTACTCAAAACCAAATCGACCATATCTGTATCAATAAAAAGTTCAGAACGACCATATAGGATGTGAGAACCAAGATAGGAGCTGACATAGCCTCGGATCACCACTTGGTGATCACAAAAATGCAACTGAAACTCAAAAAATATTGGATAACGGAGCAGACAACATTGCAAAATTTTAATGCAGCCTTTTTTCTGGATACCGTAAAATTCAACAAATTCAGGATAACCCTCTACAATAAGTTACAGGCTTTTCACGATCTAATCGATCGAAAGGAAACTGCCATGGAAAACGTTTAGAATGTGATCAAGGAGGCAATCCCTTCAACATGTCAGAATGTTTTGTGCAGCAAGAAGTACCACCACAAGGAATGGATCTTTGTTGGTACTCTTGATAAAATTTTAGAAAGGAGGAACAAGAAGGCAGCAAACAATGTCAACCAAACAAGAGCAGAGAAAGTTAAGGCACAAGCTGCATACACAGAAGCAAACAGGGAAGTGAAGAATAGCATCAGAGCCGAGAAACAGAAATATGTGGATGATCTGGCAATGACGGCGGTAAAGGCTGCAAGAGAAGGAAATCTAAGACGATTATACAATACAACAAAGAAGCTCGCTGGAAACCATTGTAAACCAGAACGACCAGTGAAAAGCTAGGAATGTTATGTAATCAGCAACACTGAAAAACTGTGAAACAGGTGGGTAGAGCACTTTAAAGAACTCTTGAATCGACCAGCTCCACTGAACCCACACAATATCGAAGCAGCATCTACGGACCTCCTGATCGATTTTGGCCCGCCAACAATTGAAGAGATCAGCGTGGCCATCAGACGAATGAAGAGCGACAAATCAGCAGGACCAGACAAAATTCCGGCAGAGGCAATGAAAGCAGACGTGGAAGCAACTGCAAAAAATCTTCACATTCTCTTCAACAAGATTAGGAATGAGGAACAATTACCGTCCGACTGAAAAGAAAGATACCTGATCAAAATACAAAAGAAAGGCGATCTCAGCCGGTGTGAGTGCTACAGAGACATCAGTCTCCTCTCATTACCAGGAAAAGTCTTCAACAGAGTGTTCTTAAACAGAACGAAGGACTTGGTAGACGCCCAACTTCGAGATCAACATGCTGGATTTCGTAAGTACCGATCGTGAACCGACCAAATTGCAAAATTACAGATCATTATGGAACAGTCAATTGAATGGGACTCACCGCTTTACATCAACTTCATTGACTATAAGAAAGCATTGGATAGCGTGAACAGGACAATACAATGGAGGCTCCTTCGATACTACGGCGTGCCTGAGAAGATAGTCAACATCAACGGAATTATTACGATGGATTAAACAGCGAAATCGCGCACGGAAGAAAGCTGACAGACTCATTCGAGAATAAAGACTGGTGTCAGGCAAGGTTGTTTACTGTCACATTTTCTCTTTCTCCTGATGATCGACTGTATTTTGAAGACGTCAACATCTGGAGGGTAGCACGGTATGACGTAGAATGTCAGGATGCTGCTGAACGATATGGACTTCGCAAATGATCTGGCTCTTCTATCGCACCCGCAACAACACATGCAAAAGAAGACGACCAGTGAAGCAACAGCCTCAGCAGCAGTAGGTCTCAACATACATAAAGGTAAAAGCAAGATGCTCCGATTCAACAGAACATGTGCCAACCAAATCACCCTTGATGGAGATGCCTTGGAGAATGGTAAAAACTGTACATATTTGCACAGCATCATTGAAGAGCTAGGTGAGTCTGATGCAGATGTGAATGCAGGGATTGGCAAAGCAAGGGCTGGATTTCTATAATTGCACAACATTTAGAACTCCTAACAAATACCATCCAACACCAAAATCATAATTCTCAATACAAATGTTAAAAGAACTCTACTATATGTGGCGGAAACTTGAAGAACTACCAAGCCACCATCCAGAAGATACAAGTATTCATTAACAGTTTTCTGCGCAAAATACTTCGAATCTGTTGGACAGACACCATCAGCAACAACCTACTTTGGGAGAGAACAAATCAGATTCCAGCGGAGGAAGAAATCAGGTAGAAGCAGTGGAAGTGGACAGGACACACACTATGGAAAGCACCCGAATGCGTCACAAGACAAGCCCTCACTTGGAACCCTCAAGGACAAAGTAGGGTAGGAAGGCTAAGGAACAAAATGCTCCGAAAGATGGAGACAGACATGAGAAGAACGGACAAAAATTGGACAGAACTGGAAAGGGAATCCCAGGACAGAGTCATATTGCTTACCCATACTTATTATTCGATTGAATATATAATGAGGTAATATTTAGTTGTGAATATTTATCCAATGCTTAAAGATAATCTTTAGAATACTGCATATGTCAGATTTTACATACTTCATGAATTTATATCCGACAGTGATGATCATTTAGAAAAATCAAAGTTAGGAATCTTGTTCAGATTGTTAAGAGGCTCTACGTAAAAGAATCTAACGTTTATAACAACCATCAGAATTGAGCCTTACTTCCAACCTAAAAATATTTTGATTACTGTAACACATTTCAAATTCTATAAAGTTGTACTGTAGAGTATGATCTTAAGCACCATGTTATAACAGTTATAATCCAAAATGTACGTTCTGTATAATACAGAAAATGTATTTTATACACACAATGATGAGTACTGAAGCCGAAAGAAGGCTGTAAATGTACATCATCCTGTTATCCAGATCCCTTTTAGCATCCTGTAATCTTCATTCAACGTTTTCAAACTAATATTCTAAGTTCTGCCGAACGGTCTTAAAAAAAACATGTTTCAACTAGTCACTTGCTAAGCTATCATGACTGAGATGTTGGGTGGTTTGCATATTAATGGTTTTATGTATTTTAATAAAGCCTGATGACGATCTAATCGAAAACAATACTGCTCTCTTATGTGTTGCTCTAATTTTTACAATGGGAATTTTTATTATTCTTAAATTTAATTCACGTAATGGCGTCTTCTGAATAATCACCAACAGCGATAAAGAGATTCACAAGTGTTTTATACCGATCCAGAGATGTTTAAAAGTATGCTTTGCCTAGAGAACTTATACAGTTACTGACAGTTCCAGGCCTAGAAAGTGGAGAGTTGTAAATGTAGCTATCTACACTATCCCGTGGACGAAAACCTCGATACTAAAATACAGAAATTATCATCTTAACCATCTATACACTCAGTCAAAGGGTCTTCATGATCCAGTGAGATACAAACAAATTTCGTTGTGCGACTAACTGCTTACTTCCGACTATGTTTATAAACTGATGATTGATGCATATTGGTTGTTTAGAGATTTTCGAGATAAAATGAGCTTGCTACAACCATTACTTTCAAGAAGATTTATAAACTCTAAATGAATGTTGAATGATAAAAATATATCCGACAATGACTGTAAACCATTCATTATTTGGTTACTTTGTTGATAACATTACCATAGAATACATTAAAATACTAGACGTTTGAAAATTCACTCAAACATTTTCTTCAGAGTTTATTCAGTCTCTCCAAATCATCATGATAGTCATGAATTTCATATTTTTAATCTGAAGCGTCCGTTTAAGCAGGATACAAAACAAAAGCAGTAAGAAAATAGGAATAAAAATTGTCTTTTTCGTATTCTTTCGAAATTTCAGAAGAAACGAAACTATTGGAAAAAATCCTATGAACAAATATGAAAAATTTAGTGCATGGGAAAGTCGAGTAAATCAGATTTTAAAATCATGTAAAGCCGTTGGATCTAAACGATGCACCACAATCAAATATGAATCATTGGTACTCCGACCAACAGAGGTCCTGCACAATCTATTCGGTAAGTAGTACAAGTATTTATGAGTGTATCGAGACGATTCACGTACCTATCATCATTCACTTTCCGCAATGACATTCTTGAAACAATAATTCTCAGTTCGAGGACAGATATATTTCAAACATCGTCCTCAGAAGTGGATCATTAGTATTGGAGACGCTTTGCTTGCAAGATGGAAAGACAAAATCAACAACTTCTCAGATTTGTGATGTGTGCCATACGACTGAGCCACCTCAGTCGATAAACGTGACACAAACTCATCGACTGTCTTCATTTCCGTTGAAAAGATATTCTGGTCTTGACAGTTGTTGTAAATGTGGCTCCACCATAATCCAGTAGTGCTAACAAAACACCTGTGTCTGTATACTCACAACTCGAAAAGACTAGCAGTGGTCGTCTGTAAATGTGAGGAATATGTGACCACCAAGTGGTTAACTCCAAAATCCATCCATTTAAGACATACACTACCAAATAATCATCTTATGTTATGCCAATATTTCATTTGCTTCAAGTACATCAGTGTTGATGCACTTTGTTAGATAAATGAAATGGTCACTATATCAAACCACTTTTTAATTGATTGCTGAAAGTGTAGATATTGATGCAGATCAAGCTCGATGTATGATGCAGTAACGGACTAGGGCAAAACAGTTTTCGAATACTTTCTCTCACTGAATCGAATCGTTCGATAATATTTAAGGAGAGACAATGGCATTTTGAATTTGTTTTGTGACTGAATTGATGACAAGAAACATCATTGTATCGTACTACTTCTCACCAAAATCATATTTCTGTGCAAACTCGTTCTCTATTTAGTATTTGTATAGGACTGGCAAATGACATATATTCGCGTTCACTCGGATAAAACTTATTGATAAATCATTTATATTTGGTTGAAAATTACACAGCATGAATCATTTAAAAATAACTGACTGATGTTATTGGTTTAGGGTATTGAGTACTCGAATCGAGATTTGCTATTTTTGCTGGCATCGGCACGGTGAGATCTGGAATCAGTAGATTTACAAATCAATGGCCTAAGTCAATTAGATTTATTGGTTCACGTCATCTGTCATATTTGTTATGTTGTTGCGAGTGATCAGTGGATTTCAACTCCTTATCGAGTGGCTCGAATCATCTTAATATTTTGCATTCATTTCTGCACTGAATACTGAGACACTAATGCTAGAAACTCGTAATGGTTTCAATGCGTCTCAGCCACTGAATGCGAATTTTTCAAATCAGCTCTCAATCAAATGCCTTAAAAATACTGGAATATATGTGAAAAGTGAATGGCAGTTTTCAGGACTACCGTTCCGAAGTGTTCGTTCTCATAACAGTTAAGCGATCCCTAAATGCAACTGGAATTTTAACTTAGAGGAAATTCGCATCATGAGGTTGTGTTACTTTTTGAAATCATCAGTCAATCAATGTCAGATCAACATTAGAAACTTGGAAGCACTGAAAGACAGCCGTTTCATCCAGGTATGCGACTCATCAGCAGTGCTCATCCACGACTCCTGTGAAGCAGTGCTAACCGAAGAGAGTAGATGAGGTTGCGCAAGACCGTGAATCAGTCGAAGTTAGATATTACCATTGCTAGATACAGACATAGTGGATGTAATGATTGATTGTTAATTAGGTAGAATTTTTCCAAATATAAACATTTGAGGTAAACATCTAAAGAATGTCATAACCCACAACTTGCATGATTAGGTAATATCTATTTGAGAAGTTGTGTGTATTTATATTTCAGTTTTATCACATTGTATTCCTTCGTTGTTTTATGTATCAGCTGAAGAAACAAAAGACTTCGCTTAGTAGTTACAAATGATTTCTCTATCAGCCAATCTATCAACAATAACAAAACTCAAAAGGAACGTTCACATTATATCCCACAAAGATGAAATTTAACCTCTGCAAGTGGGAAAGATAATATTGTAACTAAGACATTGGCAATCCACTGGTCATGCAGAGTTATCCGTTCAACACACCGAAAAAGAGCCAGGTGTTCGATTAATTCACCATTCTTGTCTGGTATTTGTATCACGTGGTACAAGAAACAAAGCATTAGTGATAGCTGACTTGAACATTTTATCGATATTTATCTTCATTGAGATAGATGTAGTCAAAAGTATCTGGCTATGGAATATCGAGATTCTTTGCCTGAGTTATCTCATTCCACATTCGATTTGATGAAGGTATAAAAAATGTAAATCGAAATGTATTTTGGCAGAAAGGAAGAACAGTGTACACTGTGTATATAACTACATAAATCTAAGTAAGAAGTCATCACTTTCAGATGTTTGTAAATAGCTGAGAAATGAACCGAATGCATTCACTTCATAAATTTAAAATACATTGCAATTTGCTTCTGTCTCATTCTCTCACTTGTATATATTTGTTTGTATAGAATTCCTTGAGTTACCATGGGATCCGATTGTTCTCCATCATCAAACGGCAATGCACCAGAACTCTCTAAGCAGGTACGTGATGATCACAATGAATTTATTTGCATGTGATTATGAATTATCAATTCACGATCAGTTGATTCACAGAATTTGTTCAGCTCACAACGAACTTTACAAGCGCCATTTAGTCTTGATCTCACAACAAGTGTGTAGCTATGCAGATAGCACGAACGAAACTGCTACCTTGACCTGGTGGTCGAGCTCCACAACACGATGATCCAACAGGGCTATATTGTCTGTGACAAATGTTCCTTTATGTCCTAGCATGTCAGGTATGTCGTTTGCGTTACGGCAATACTAACAGCTAGCAGCTACGTAAGTTCTTAGGGCGTAGTAGTACTGCCAACTGCAAAGGTATGTGACAGCAATAAGGTGTTTCTTTTGGACAGTGAGCACAAGGAAGGAAAGGGTTAGAAAAGGTTGACCCTAAAACAATATCTCACCTTACTTTACCGCACTGATTTCCGTCTCCGGCGGCAAGAACGAGGCTAAGACTTTGAAAAACTCTCATAAAAAGGCTGTATGCGACAGTTGTCTTTTGGGCTATGTGATCAGGCTTTCAGGTATCTAAGACTAATGCTTACAGACCTTCCTTTTCAGGTTCTTGAAGAAACACCCTTTCATGGTGTGGGTAGCTGGGAATTGACATCCGTCCTCATACCTGTAGCAGCACACGAGACCGAATTGGCCACAATCTAATCCTTTAACATCCACCTAATATCCACGACTCACCCTCGTCACATTTCATTATCACCTTGCACTACTGATGCATACGATTCGAGTTCACGAAACGTTATTCCTGGTCTCCTAAGACTCCATTCTAAACTACAGGTTGGAGCCTTCAATGTACGGACATCGTATCAAATAGGACAATAGGCTTCCCTAGCTAGGACTTTAGAATTTCGAGCTATAGATGTATGCTGCTTCTCCAAAACGCGCATACAGGATCCTAGTAAAATCATTAGTTCGCGCCTCTGGAAGCCCTGATAATGCTTCCCAGGGTCTTGCTGGTGTGAGCATAGCATTGATTCCAAGAGCACGACTAGCTCCCCTTTACTGGACTCCAGTAGACAGTCGCTTGTGCGGTCTCCGTCCGAACGGGATAGCAAGGATTCGGAAAGATAGGGACACTCGCCGTCGCCTCTTCGTTGTCTCCGCCTACGTTCCCACTGACTGCAGCTCAGACGAGGTGAAAGATGAGTTGTACAGAAAGCTTTCGGACCTCCTCTAAAAAGTTAGGCGCTCTGATGTAGTGATATTGGCTGATGACTTTAATGCTCAAGTTGTTAGACTCAGTGATAAGGAAGTACACCTGGATCTATATTGTCGCGGCTCAAAGAACAACCGTGCTTACAACTATGCTCACATAACCGCTTATTTCTAGTCAACACTAACTTTAAGCATAAGGAAAAACATCTTTTGATACGGTGGCACCAAAAGCGGACCTAATGCTGGAAGCAACTGGACCACATCACCATCATCCACCGATGAAGGGGTTCGAAAGGCGACTATCGCTCATTCTGGAGCACTTGTTTAGGTTCAGACCATGCTCTAGTGCAAGCACTAATCTGTTTGCGACTTACTGGACATAGGAGAGACACCGCAAAGAAACCTTGCAGGATTCTAATTAATAGTAGCCCAGCTAAGATCATATTTCAGGAGCAACTAGATGAACAGTTGGGCGGCCAAGTAAGTAATTATCGTCCCGCGGCAGCGTGGAATGATATCAAAAAAGTTGCGGAAACAGCGGTTGTATCTGCTAGTAAGGTACACTACGGGGTTAGGGGTAAGCCATGGATCTGAGCAGCACCCGCCGAACTGATAGACGCTCGAAAACTCATCCCGCCTGGCTCAGAACGTGACGAGGTGCGAGTTCAGCTTAAGTACAGGCTGATAAAAAGCCTACGCAATGATCACAGACAGTGGCGGATGGCGAAAGCGAGAGCGATGAAAGCGACAGCGGCGATAGTTAACAGCAGACAACTGTTCCGCTTAATCAACGAAACCGGTACATCTGTGTTGGGGATGTTAGATCCCCAAAATTCGCTTGATAATGCCGTATTTTGGTTTTCGCGTTTCGCCAGCATGGGCTGATCAGATGACCTTGAGATTTCAATTTCCACCAGCAAAATCAATGGCTGTGATTGGCTGCAGTGTATTTTAGTATGCTATTTTCTTAACTGTCTCAAGGGCGTTCTTATGTTGTATAAATAAACGAGAGTTGTATGCTTGATTGTACTGTGATTGCTGGGTGTTTGTAGAATATACTTTCTACGCTTACAAAGCCTTCAGGGCAACAGGCATCATTAGCTAGGACTTTAGAATCTCGTGCCATCGAAGTGTGCTGCGTCTCGGAAACGCGCATACAGGATCCCAGTAGCATCACTCATTTGACCTGACCATGTCAAGATAAAGAAGCAGCTCGATTTACCCTTGGTGTATCCGGTAGCCCTGATGCTGCTTCTAGGGGCCTCGCCGGTGTAGGTATAGCATTGAGTCGTAGGGCAGAACAATCTCTCCTTGACTGGATCCCTGTAGATAGTCGCTTGTGCGCCGTCCGACTGAACGGGACAGTAAGGGCTCGGAAAGATAGGGACACTGGTTGTTGCCTCTTCGTCATATCAGCCTACGCCCCCACTGACTGCAGCCCAGATGATGTAAAAGATGACTTTTACAGAAAGCTTTCGGACCTTCTCCAAAAAGTTAAGCGCTCTGATATAGTTATAATGGCTGGTGACTTCAATGCACAAGTAGGTAGACTAAGTGAAAATGAAAGACACCTAGGTGGATGTTATGGTGTCGCGGCTCAAAGAACAGACAATGGCGACCGTCTGTTGCAACTGTGCTCAGATAACCAACTATTTCTAGCAAACACTAATTTGAAGCATAAGGAAAAACATCTTTTGACCTGGCGACCCCCGAAGTCGTCTCAACGTTGGACAAACCACTAGATCATATCGCCATCAGCCACCGATGGAGCGGTTCGATAGAGGACTGTCGCTCGTTCTGGGGCACATGTTTAGATTCAGATCATGCCCTAGTGCGAGCACGTATTTGTTTGAGCCTGCTTGCTGGACGTAGGAAAGACACCGTAAGGAAGCCTCTTACGGCTTTACTTGATGATAATCAAGCTAAGAAAATATTTCAGGAGGAACTAGAAAAACAGTTAGGCGACCATGCAAGTGATTCCCATCCTGAAGCAGGTTGGAATCATATCAAGAAGGCTGTGCAAACAGCAATGGTATCTGCTAGCAAGGTAAACCACAAGGCTAGGATGAAGCAGTGGATCTCAGTCGCATCCACCCAACTGATGGATGCTCGAAAACGCATCCCACCTGACTCAACATGATGAAGAGCGTAGTCAGCTTAGGCACAGACTCATAAAAAGCCTACGTAACGACCGTGAACAGTGGTGGGTGGCGTAAGCAAAAGCGATGGAAAAGGCAGCGGCGATAGGCAACACTAGACAACTTTTCCGCCTTATCAAAGAAACCGGTATTAGGAACCCGAATGTAAGTGAGACTATCTCGGAAAAGGATGGTCTTATTATCCATTCTCAATCTAGGAGGCTGGACCGATGGGCAGAACACTTTAGGGACCAGTTCAACTGGCCTCGAGCCACACTACGGTTGCCCACGATCCCCAGTCATCCTGAATGGCAAATCGATTTAAGTCCTCCCAGTTTACATGAAGTTGAGAAAGCTATAGGAAATCTAAAGGTAGGTAGAGCGGCAGGTCCCGATAGGCTTACCCCTGAGATGGTTAAGTATGGTGGTCCAATTTTAACGGTTAGACTGACCGAGATCCTAGGTAGAATCTGGGAAATGGACGTAATCCCATCTGACTGGTCTCAGTCGCTAATTGTCCCAATCTACAAGAAAGGACAGAAGTTCTCTTGTGACAATCACAGGGGAATAAGTTTAACTAATATAGTTTCTAAATTGTTAGCCTCGATTATACTTAGACGTCTAACTAGAGCTCGTGAAGAGCAGACTCGAGAAAACCAGTCTGGTTTTCGACCTGGACGTGGTTGTATAGACCACATCTTCACACTACGACAGGTCCTGGAACACAGACACACATTTAGACGTCCGACAATAGTCGTGTTCCTGGACCTTAAGGCGGCATTTGACTCAGTGGATCGTGAGGTTCTGTGGCAGTGTCTGTCATTGAAAGGTGTACCAAAGAAGTACATTAACCTTATGCAAGCACTCTACTCGAACACCACTGGTCGGGTGAGAGCATATGGCGAACTGTCATCTGAATTCTCTACATCAAGTGGTGTCCGTCATGGCCGTCCACTCTCTCCATTCTTGTTTAACTTTGTCGTAGACATCCTCTTAGAGTTAACATTAAACTCGTCAGATTTTTCAGGGGTTGACCTTCTACCAGGAAAGTCGCTTACTGATCTAGAATATGCCGATGACATAGTTCTATTCGGTGAAGACGCTGACAAAATGCAGAGTCTTCTGACTACCATAAGCAACAATGCGAGCATGTTCGGGATGCGGTTTTCCCCCTCGAAATGCAAAGTGTTGCTTCAAGACTGGTTTGCATCGGCACCTGAACTAGTGATAGGGAGTGAACTAGTCGAGGGTGTTGATCGCTTCACTTATCTAGGGAGTCTCATCAGTGCTGACGGTCTGGTGACTGACGAAATCTCAGCTCGGATACAGAAAGCTCGATTGGCTTTTGCCAACCTGCGTCACTTATGGCGTAGGCGTGATATCCGTTCTCTAACCAAAGGAAGGGTGTAATCCTTGGTCCAGGATACATGTCGACTTCACTGGCCCAATAAATGGAACTATGTATTTAATTGTCGTCGACGCCTTTTCTAAATGGCCGGAAATCAGCCCCGTTATGCCGCCCACTACAACTAAGACTATACAGCTCCTAACTGAAATTTTCTCACGAAATGGCATACCAGATGTGATCGTATCCGACAATGGCTCTCAATTCACCTCTTCCCAATTCCAGAATTTCTGTCAACGGCTAGCCATTAAACATTTACGCCGAAACGTTACAAAATTTCTTGTACGTCTATCGGACAACACCAAATGAATTGTTACCGGAGCAAAAGTCCCCAGCTGAAATCCTGATGGGAAGAAGATTGAAAACGATCCACAGCCTGATGCATCCGACTAATGCACCCTCATCAGTAGAGACAAAGCAGCAAAGACAGTCCGCTTACGAGGTGGGATGCCCTGTGTTTGCCCGCGACTACAGAACGAACCATGGTCCTTGGGTAGAAGCGAAAGTGGTCAGAAGGGTTGGTCGAGTTATGTACGAAGTAGAGGTAGGAGGTGATAAATGGTCACGTCATCGGAATAAGATACGCAGACGGCTAGCCCCAGATCGCCCATCAAGAGCAGAAAGCCTTCCCCTTGACATCTCGCTTGATCCCTTCAACCTACCGAGAGCCCCGCCACGAGAAGAAACTCAGCAGCAAGCTGTTCTTCGTTCCCGAAGGTATCCCCTCAGACAGCGGCGAACAATAGTCAAGATGCAAGTCGACCCCAGGAGAACACGCTATTAAAAAGGGGAGGAGTGTTGGGGATGTTAGATCCCCAAAATTCGCTTGATAATGCCGTATTTTGGTTTTCGCGTTTCGCCAGCATGGGCTGATCAGATGACCTTGAGATTTCAATTTCCACCAGCAAAATCAATGGCTGTGATTGGCTGCAGTGTATTTTAGTATGCTATTTTCTTAACTGTCTCAAGGACGTTCTTATGTTGTATAAATAAACGAGAGTTGTATGCTTGGTTGTTGTGTGATGGCTGGGTGTTTGTAGAATATACTTTCTACGCTTACCAAAACTTCTGTTTCGATTTTGGGTATTCAAGGTAGCCTCCCTGGAAGCTGGTAAAAGTCTCGTTCGCGTTTATCGACTAAGGTAAACTCGTAATAGCCTCAAGCATACTAAGTGACGAACTTATCAATCTGTAAGTGAAACTATCTCAGAAAAGGATTGCCGCATCATTCATTCTCAACTCAGGATTTTGGATCGACGGGCAGAACTCTTCACGGGTCCAATCAACTGGACCTCACTCACACGTCGGTCGCCCACACTCTCCAGTCATCCTGAATGGCAAATCGATATAAGTCCTCCAGGTCTTTACGAAGTTGAGAAAGCTTCTGGAAATCTGAAGATACAGCGAACTTCAGGGCCTGACAGACTGACACTTGAGAGTTTTAAAGATGGTGGGCCAGTTTTAGCAGTTAGATTGACCGAGACGTTAGGCAGAATTGGGGAAATGGGCGTATTCCCATCTGACTGGTTTCAATTATTGATACTCCCAGTCTATAAGAAAAGACAGAAGTCCTCTTGTGACAGTCACAGGGGAATCAGTTTAACTAATATAGTATCTAAAATATTAGCCTCATTAATACTCGGAAGTCTGACTCGAGATCGCGACGAGCAGACCCGAGGAAACTAGGCTGGCTTTCGACCTGGACGTGGATTTACAGACTAGATATTTACACTACGTCAAGTCCTAGAACATAAACACTCGTTCCGACGGCATTTGACTCTCTTGCCATGAGGTATTGTGTCAGTGTCTGTCAATCAAAGGTGTACCAAAGAAGTACATTAACCTTATACAAGCTCTCTACTCGAACACTACTGGTCAACTGAGGGCTTACGGTGAACTGTCATCGGAATTCTTTACTTCAGTCGGTGTCCGTGAGTCCATCTCCATTCTTGTTTAACTTGGTCGTAGATATGCTTCACAGTTACTATTACCCTCGTCAGATTTTTCAGGGGTGGACCTTGGAACCACGAGACAGGCTTGTTGACCTAGAATATGCAGATGACATAATTCTATTCAGGGAAGACGCTGACAAAATGCAGTGTCTCCTGACTAACCTAAGAAACAATGTAAACATGTTCGGCATGCGATTCTCAACCTCCAAATGAGAAATGTTGCTTCAGGATTGGGTTGTATTGGCACCTAAACTAGTGATGGGTAGTGAAGTAGCCGAGCGTGTAGACCGCTTCACTTATCTGGGCAGTCTCTCGAGACTGATGGCCTGGTGACTGACGAAATCTCTGCACGGATACAGAAAGCTCGACTGGCTTTTGCCAACTTGCGTCACCTATGGCGTAGGAGAGATATCCGTTTGCTGACCAAAGAATGAGTCTAATGCGCAGCAGTTCGTTCCGTCCCACTATATCGATGCGAAACATGGCCGATAATAGTCGAAGATATTCGATGGTTATTAGAATTTGATTATAGATGTCTTAGAAGGACTCCTGAGATAACGGAGTAAGCTACGCTGTCATTAGGAATCGAGTACTTGGTCAAGATAGTAAATCAATAGATGAAGCGTTGAAACTTCATCGGTTGAGGTGGTCAGGACAAGTGTTACCAATGACCAAGCACCAACTCCCTCGACGAGCGATGTTTTGTGGTGTATTGGTAGACCGGAAGAGAGCTAGCGGCAGCCAAACCAAAACATGGAACAAATCCGTGAAGTCACTGACAGGTAGGCTGAGTCATGTTGGTAGATGAAGACTACCTGGTTGGGGTCAGCGAGACGATAGTAATCGAGAGTTAGAGACCTTGAAAAACATGGCTCAAAATCGTTTGCGATGGCGCAGCTGCACCCACACATTGTGTTCGATGACGTCCCAATCTTCTCAATTCGTCGTCACTCTTATCTTTCTATATCGAAATTAGTCTCACTGGATTATACTTCTTGAATAATATCTTCGAACCTTAATCTTCTCCATTACCAGTAATACTTCTACTATCTCTACCACTATGAGATTTGAACTGACAATTGCGTCTCTGTACTAATGTAGTATGGTAACCTGAACTGATTTACTTACGTACGAAGTACGTAACTGACTGACTAACTGACTGGCTGAGTCATTAGTTACACACGATCTCCAGTCAACATGAATGGCAAGTATATGTATTCCTCCACGTTTTTATAAAGGTGAGAAAGCGAAAGTAAGTCTGAAGTGAGGGGAATCAGCATGACCTAGCAGATTTGCTACTGATATTTTGAAGGGTAGTGGTCCAGTTTTAGCAGTGATACTGACTGAAATCTTAAGTGGAATATTGGAACTGGCAGTAATCTCATCCGACTGATTTCAATTACTGACTGATGCAGTCTATATTACAGGATAAAAATCGTTTAGTGACAATCACATAAGACTCAGTTTAATTAACACACTGTATAAGATGTTGACTTCAATAACACTTCATTGACTAACTATAGCTCGTAAATAGCAGACTCTAGAAAACTAATGTACGCATTTACGAGGTTCTACGTCGTGGTTCACTTATTGTGGTGATTTCGTTAGGCTGGATGGTCTGCTTGTCAATTCAATGAAATACTTCAAATGAGAATTTTATGATACGATTCACGTAGTAAAAAAGTGTCAGTATGTTTGTGCAAATTACCTACAAACTATGAAATTCAGTTGCTATTCGTCTTCACTCGGTTGAGATGAATACGTTAAAGCAGTGCATTTGATTTAAAGAAACATCACTACTACTTGCAACATCATCATAATGGAACTGCCGACTAACACACCACTGCACTATAAGACGTTTGTGACTGGAACAGTTTTATCTATTGATTTGTGAGTTTTGGCCGCTTGAAATAGTACAATTCACAATTCCAAATTAACCACGTGTTTCTTATACACACAGACTTGAACCGAGTACTTCACAGGTTGTCCATCCAATACACTTGGCTTCATTGACATCATGGGCTTCAAATGAATCCAAATTGCCTGAACATTTCATCGCATCAATACACCGAGATAGCGTTGTGCTGAAAACGCTTGGGTATGCTGATTTGGGTGTGCCACCACATTACGGTACTCCAGAAAACCAAGTAGCCAATATTACTAGTTACCTGAAACACGATCCACAATTCAGACGAATATTCTAACTTCATATTGCTCAAATGAAACTGTCTGACAGTTGTCAGCATTATTCGATGTAAATTTCCCTATACTGATCAGATATCTGTATCTACATTTCTCAAGTTATTTTTCCACAGAAATGACAAGCAGTGTATTTCCGATTATTTAGAAATGTTAAGATTTTTAGTTTCTGATTGATGGTGAATAATAGATTTGAAGTGTTAGTTAATTTTGACTGTAATGCTGTTGGTGATCGATGGTGTCGGTGTTTTTGGTGATGATGATGATGTTGATATTTTGTATTGCAATACTTTTCTATCTTTGTATTTTCTAATTTTCCGATTTTATTGATATTTTTAATGATGAAGTTTTGTGTTAATGGACTGTGTCTTTCAATGAATATTGAATCGACATGTTTTAAATTTTGATAATGTTTAGTTGTTGATTGATTTTATTTTTTTATATACACAGTTTCGGTGTGATATTGGGAAATATTTTCCTACCCGTATTCACTCAATAATTTTTTTCTCCTAAATAGACTGATAATACCTGTTTTACACTCATGATTTAAAAGGTGCATGATTTTGGAGATATTTGCTTCTGTTCTCTCCATAGCTTAATCAGAAAGAAAGCTATATCGCTAATTGTAGGATTTTGGTTCCTATTTTCCAATATTTAAAGGCGCAGTCATTTTTATCTGCTTTATACTAGTTTGTAAAGGCTATTACAGTTGCAATAAATGTGACTCTAAAGTTTAAACCTGCCAACATAAGCATTCATATGCAATTTTTACATTGATGACCCTTAATTCTTTAGTATAATCTTAATAAACACATAATTAATTTACATAGATATTCAGACTAAAATATTGTGAAATTAGCAGCGAGTTAGCAAATATAGCAAATAGACTCTTCTAATATACTCTCTAATACTTTATACGTAATAGTTTTTTTCTCTCTGCTGAAAAAAGCCTCAAAAGGTCGTTGAGCTAAATATTACTACGTTATAAGACTTTAAATATGTTAGTAAACTACGTGACATAAATAGTTTACAGAGATCTATGTTAGTTCATGTGGATTTGGCATAATCCCGTTTATTTTGAATCAATACAGTGGTATTTATCACTTATCAGTAAGAATTCAAAATCGTAGTAATTCATTGAATAAATAAGACACTGAAATACATTTGTTTACATCATTTTAATCGCCGCCGATAACAATTGATTGTGGAATACTGTCATCTTTAAAAAAAATACAGCATTGTACCACCGTAAATACTGATTGAGAACCAAATTTATTGATGACCTATATAGAAAAACAGATGTTTTTTTTAAGAATTTATGAATTAATACAATACATTGTATCAAATACATGTACAGGACAGAAAATTCCATGGAAACCTTATGAATAGAAAGTTAAATAAGGTTTAGTATAAATACCTCAGTCTTTTAACACATTACTCCACATTGTTTTTAGATCCGAACTCAAATATTTGTTTATCATGAGTGAATCAATTAAAAACATGTATTATTCTTTGAATAAGTAAGCAATAACAAAATGCAATAATCTAGTTTGTAAACAAATAAAGTTTAATTATTTATTATCCAATGACAAAAGCGATCCATTATGTTAATGAAGAAAATATGATGACAATTCAGAGAAGAAAATATTCTGCTAAACAACTTCATTTACTCAAAATTTATCACCGTATTTATAGTAGTAATTCATATAGAATCCGATTAGTATGTTGTTAAGTAATTAAAAAAAATCGAAATGATATCGTGTAATCAAATTGCTGACAAAATTCTATATTGAAACAAAGTTATGTAATAATCGGATACTATAACGTGTTAAGGTACAAATAACTGTCCTCTTAATAAATATTGCTGGCAAAGTAATTAATAATGGTGAAGTCCCGAACGTAGCTGCTACCTTGACGTGGTGGTCGGGCTTGCCTATCGTCATGACCCAACCGAGCTATACTGGCTGCAATATATGTTCCTGAAGGTTCTAACATGCCAGGCAGGTCGACTGGAGAACGATGAGACTAAAAGCAGCTACCCAAGGTCTGAGGGCGAAGTTGTACTGCTGACTGCAGAGGGGTGTGACAGCAGCAATGTGTTTCCCTCGGAAAACCAGCGATGCTGCCTTCTCACAAGGAAGTAAGGAGTTAGAAAATGTCACGGAAAACGTCACACCTCACCCTTCTTCACGGATTTACGTCTCCGTCGGTAAGGGTGCCCACTAAGGGCTTACAAGAGCGGAGCTAATACTAAAAAAACCTTTCATCAAAAGGTCGTGCGTGAACGGCCTCAAGCAGTTGTCCCTTGGGCTCTGCGGTCACGCTCCTAGGTCTCTAAGACAAATACTTATCTACCTTCCTTTTCAGGTTCCTCCAGAAACACTCTTCCACTGTGTGGAAAGCCGGGAAGTGACAACCGCCCTAATACCCGTAACAGCACGAAAGACCAAATTGGTCAAAATCAAATCCTTCTTTTTTAATGGCGAAGTAATAGTTACAAAAAGTTACTAGAAAAGACTAGAAGAAAACGATAAATTATTGATGATAGGAAAAAAAGACTTGGACCACAGTAGAATGAAAGATTTGACATAAAACTATAAGACTTTGTTGTATGTGAGTTTACTACTAACATATTTTTTAAGCCAATTCTGAAGCAGTCAAACATTTAAGGCCAAACAATAAGTAAGAAATTTTCATAGCTACATGCGACCGTTCACGATTTTACCCAATTACTCGAGGGAGCAGATATGCGCTACTGGTTGAAAATCTTGATCTTCCAAGGGACACTTGTGTATTTTGATGAAGGGATTTTGGTTTATTTAGTCAGCAAAACACTCCTACTCGGTTTTAGTTTTCTCAGTCACTTATTTCGATGGGCATGTGTACGGCAAAAATATTTATTAGTGTCGGATTTGAATGACAGTTCAATACAACATTTAAACTTATGTATGTTCTAGAACAGTCATCTAAGAGGGATAAAGAAACAAAATATTTTTATAAAAGGAAGAATAGTGTTAACGTTTACATAATACTCAAAAACTTTACTAGATGTGAAACTCAGATAAGAAATAAGAAATAACAAAACTATCGTGTAAAAAAATCGTACTGAACAAAATATTGAAATGAAGGTCAGTAGAGCAAAACAAGACTATTGAATATCCTTTTGAATATATAAATTTGACTAAAATATTTGGCGGAGCATAACAAATCTAATGTCGCTTTTTTGTTAATTATCTTTAAAATTTTTAATAAATTATTCAAAATTGTCTAATTTCGTAATGAATAATACTATTGTTTTCGTGATTTTAGGTATTTGGAAACAATAATAATAGCTATATTCATCACCATAAAATATGCTACAATCATATTTTTTGATTCATGAGATTTTAACATGATGAAACAGAATATATAGAATAGGAGAGTATCGTTGTCTAACATAATTGTTTACTCTGGCTATTCCTCTTTCTTTTGAGTGGCTGAGTTGATTACGAGGACCTCAAAATATCAGAATCACTGAGTAAAATAGTAAAATCTGATTTCTATATGCGGAAAAGGATTTGCAAAGCAACGACAGTATTTCGATAACTGAAAAATATCTAGAACTCAAAATAATTGTCAATTAATACCAAACGTCAAGGCATTTCTGTTGTATGAAGCGGAAGCTTGGAGACCTACCAAAAGCCAGCATTCAAAAGTTACGGATGTTTATTAACCTTTCTCTATGCAAGACACTCCATATTTGTCGGCCAAACACCTTCAGCGATAACCTACTTTGATAAAGAACAAACCAGATTCCAGATGAAGAGGCGATTCGGAAAAACACTAGAGATGGTTATGAAGCACATTGCCTAAAATGCTAAAATGCGCTATAAAGCAAGCTCCAATTTGTAATCCTCAGGGCCAAATTAGAAAAGGCAGACTGAAGAACACATTGCATCGATAATCGAAGACAGGTAATAAAATAAAAAATAGCGCTTGGAAACAGCTGGAAAGGACAACACAGGACAGAACAGATTTGAGGATGTTCGTCAGTAGCCTATGCCGCACAAAGGGAAACAGGAGTGAATAAGTTAGTGAGAAAAAAAGAGGACTAACTAAACATGTACTCATATATGAAATAAGGGATTTAAACGTTGGAGCAGACCAATAGCCATAAAATAAATGCATTCATATAATCCAGCAATCGTCTTTCACCTTTTTTCGTTCAAACATTCAGTTTTTCCTTAGACTACTGGAGAGATTCCGTTTCTTACATCACCATGCTAACCTTTTCTTGTCCGGAAAAATTGAAAACCTGAGACATATGTGACAAGTGACTTATTTTGCTCCCATTAATTATATTGTAATTATTAGAGAGATTTATTATAAACTTTTTGCCTGAACATTTTCTATGTGTTTATTTATATGCTTGTGCGTTTCATCCACTTTTTGTTCGATTATATAAACTCAGTTATTAGTTACTACACTGAAAAATTTTCCGATTAATTCAAATATTTCATAATTTTTGTAACATGTCAAATCCATATACTGCACTATAAATTCATTTGTTTATGTCATTGTTGGTTTGCTTATCCAATATTTGTACATAACATTGCACGTGCACTATCAACAACGCTAAGACAGATGGAAAACTTTTCATCTATAATGATAAGTTGCATTACTAAAATCGGGCTACGAAAAGAACCACACTGGCCTGATAAAAGGCATCATATTCTTGATGCTGAAATCTCAAAACATTCAGGATTCATTTCCCTCTTAAACTTCTTTACAAATATAAATGATAAATCATCACAGTTGAATAATTTTTCGTAATTTGCGTAACTACTTAACTGTGACTAAGTAATATACCACTATCACCAAGATATAAAGTATTCATTGTATACGACTTTAAAATTCGTAGATGGTAATTTCGAATACAATATGTATTCTGGAGTGCAGGATTATATCATATGTTTTAGATAACAAGCATTGTGTAATCTGAACAACTATTTGTAGCTATATTTTTCAGAACTTTTCCATAATCTTCAGTTAATCTTTAGTCTTTTTTTAAGCACACCATTTTCATGTGACCATGGCGATATCACCATAGTATAACGACATTCAGTTTACCGACTGATTTAAAGTCTTTGATTAGAGTATGCTTCTGGGTACAGTCGAGTGATCACTGATTAGTGACCCCATTCATGATTTTCTAGTTCCTTAAGTGAGACTCTAAATCCATCTATCAAATCGCCATGTGGTCACTAGTCTAAGTGACCCGAGGCTAAGATGTTAAATGATTGTAGGTATACGATAAGTAAACGTGGATCTACTTGAAATTCATCAGCTAAGTTTTTTGTGTTCAAATCGTACAGAGAGTATCAGTTCCCTTAAGATTACAGGTATTTCTAGTTCATAAGTGCCAACTAACACAAAATCTGAATCTAGGGTTTCGTATTGAACAGTTCTAAACACTTAAATT